CAAAAAGAGTTTTGGTGAATGAGGCATCATGGAAATGAATTTGTAGTAAGAGTACATGTACATCAAACAACAATTATCATTCAATCCATCTCTTCCTTCAAACAATAAAATCACCTAAACAAAAATTTTCCAAGCCATCTACCACAATTAAAACTTCGGGGAAAACATTTAGGAATAGAAAAAAAAAGGAGTAGAGGTAGTAATGTGTGCATAACACCTTCTCCAAAGTACATTTTCCCCTTGCTAATTCACCACAAAGAAGCTAGGCACAGCTGTTTCAGCTCTAGATCCTAAAGCCTGGGAATCACATTTCTAGCAATGCATTCAACTTTACATTTCAATATAACTAAATAATTTAGAGATGTCTTTAAATACCGCCTGATGGAAATGCACCTGCGTAATATCATCACTTGCCTCTCTAACTGAAATGTTAGCCGTTTTCAATTTCTCTTTCTTCTCCAATACATCATCTACTTACCCCATTTCCTCTCTATATTCTGTCTTTACACATTACCTTTCCCTCATTTCAATAACCCTAGAGCGAGATGCTGGATTGAAACAACTGTCTCTTACAGAGCTTCCCTCCAATTCGTATCGCCTTCATTTCTACACAAAGCAGTAAGAATTATCTTCCACCAACAGCTGTTTTCAGTAATAAGAAAGCTAAGTTCTGTGACTAAGCTAAACATCCCTTCTGTTCTCCGAGGCCTACAGTGGTTCCTAGTTGCTAGTGGTACTGAAGTGAAATCTCCAAATACTGCTCATTATGTCCTTTATGAACTCTCAATGACCTGTCTACAGTTTCCGACATATTCAAATTTATGTTTTCTATTCCATTTAGTCTGACAACCATGCATTAACATGATTAATTTGTTTCTTGTTTTCTTTACCATTACAGTAGGAACTATTTATTCTCCCGTATATTTAGTCTCTCCTTCCTTAACAATAGATACTCTAACTTTAATCAGGGCACATGGCTGTCCAGGATAAAGACTACATTTTTCAGCCTCTCTTGCAGCTAGGAGTGTCGAGTGACTAAGTGCTAAAGAATAATATGCAAGCCAACATGTTATGAGCAACTTCAATAGGTGTCTTTAAAGGGAATGAGTATTCATATTTTTTTTTCGATTTTATTTATTTATCTGAGAGAGAGAGAGCACAAGCAGAGGGAAGGGCAGAGGGAGAAGCAGACTCTCCACTGAGCAGGGAGCCCGACCCAGGGCTCAATCCTAGGATCCCAGGATCATGACCTGAGCTGAAGGCAGAGAGTTAACCGACTGGTACCCCTAGAATATTCATATTTTCAAGGTCTTCTTCCTACTGGCTAGAAGTCAGATGTGATGGCTGGAGCTCAAACAGCTATCTTGGATCATGAAGTGGAAGTTACATGATGAGTCTGGTGGAACGACAAGACAGAAAGACCCCTGGGTCCCTGACATCATGAAGAGCCATATCAGTCCTAGAATATCTAGTTCTGGATTATTTCTAGAAGAGAGAAAAAAATCCTGTTATGTTTAAGCTGTTAACATTTTTGTGGCCTCTTCTACCATCACTTCTGGGAACACCTAATTCTAATCGATCCACCTTTCTCCAAGTTTTCATTTGCTACTTCTGTCCCACTAAGAATGCTCCCCCAATTTATTTTCTTATCTCCCTCAGCAACCCCCCCACACACACCAAATTGTCATTTTTCTTTCTTCCTTTAAAATACAACTTCCGAGGGTGCCTGGGTGGCTCAGTTGTGAAGCATCTGCCTTCAGCTCAGGTCATGATCCCAGGGTCCTGGGATCAAGCCCCACATCAGGCTCCCTGCTCTGCTGGAAACCTGCTTCTCCCTCTCCCACTCCCCCTGCTTGTGTTCCCTCTCTCACTGTGTCTCTCTCTGTCAAATAAATAAATTAATTAAATAAAAAATCTTTAAAAAAAAAACAGCTTCTGGGGTGCCTGGGTGACTTAGTCGGCTAAGCACCCAACTCTTGGTTTCAGCTCAGGTCATGATCTCATGGGTTGTGAGATCTAGCCCCATGTTGGGCTCCATGCTCAGCAGGGAGTCTGCTTGAAGATTCTTTCCCTCTGTCCCTCCCCCTCTGTGCGCACACGCTCTCTCTCTCTCTCAAATAAATAAATCTTTGAAAATAAATAAATAAATAAATAAAATACAGCTTCAGATTCAATGCCTACATGGAAACGGTTAGTATTGCTAAGCTTAATACAATTACTCTTTTTTGAACGCACACACATCTATATAGCTAGTATGCATATGTGTATATATACATAGTGATGGATAAATGAAGTTTTTATTTTATTTAAATAAAAATATTTTAAAATATTTTAAAATTTTATTATGTTATGTTAGTCACCATACATTACATCATTAGTTCTTGATGTAGTGTTCCATGATTCACTGTTTGCGTATAACACTCAGTGCTCCATGCAATATGTGCCCTCCTTAATACTCATCACCAGGCTAAGCCAACCCCCCAAACCCCTCCTTCTAAAAGCCTTAGTTTGTTTCTCAGAGTCCATAGTCTCTCATGGTTCGTCTCCCCCTCTGATTTCCCTCCCTTCATTTTTCCCTTCCTACTATCTTCTTCTTCTTCTTTTTTTTAACATATAATGTATTATTTGTTTCAGAGGTACAGGTCTGTGATTCATCAGTCTTACACAATTCACAGCGCTTACCATAGCACATATCCTCCCCAGTGTCCATCACTCAGCAACCCCCCATCTCTGCCACCCCCCCATCACTCCAGCAACCCTCAGTTTGTTTCCTAAGATTAAGAGTTTCTTACGGTTTGTCTCCCTCTCCAGTCGAAGTTTTTAAATAATTTAACAGATTTTTAACAAATTTACTAAGTTTTTACACCCAAACATTCACTATTCACTTTCAAATAGTACTCTTACTACAAATTCATTTTGATGACTCCATCATTCACCAAAACTCCTTTTGAACATCTTTTTTTTTTTAAACAGGCTAAAAGCCATCACTAGATATAACTTCCAAGAGAGCAGAAATACACCCAATTTGGTTACCAGTCCTGGAACAGTGTCTGGCATTTAGTAAGTAGTCAATACATGTTTAGTGATATGAAAAAAAATTGTAGCAAAACTTCATTTGAAGGTAGACTGACTTTTTAAAAATAGTTAAAAGTCATTCCAAGCTCAGTTTAGTGAATAAGATGTGTCATAAAGCTAGCAAATATCATTTGGGGTTAAAAAAAAAAAAAAAGCAGTGACTATAAAGCAATAAACTTGATTTCCTTATATGAATCATAAAAATGGCTCAGGGCTGGACTACTTCTTTGGCAATTTAAAGATTCATTTCCTAAGCTTACAGGTAAGTAAGCCAAGCTCCCTCCAGTTTGCACCTGGAGTTCCCTTTGCCTGGAACATCCCAGATATACATGGATTGTCCCCTCACTTCATTTGGGTCTCTGTCTAAATTTCTACCTCCTCCAAAAGGCCTTCCCTCACTCCCTGACCTAAAGTAAAGCCATCCTTGTCACTCTCTGTCCCCTAATACTGCTTTCCTTTTATTTATAGAACTTGTTCCTAACATAATATTTTATATCTATTTTGTTTATGTGTGGTTAGTAGCCGTCTCTGTCACTAGAATATCTGCTCCATGATGAAAGGGACTATGTTTTCCTCACTGCTATAGCTCCAAATTTCTGCTCGATATCTAGATTTCAAATAAATTCCATAAATATAAGTTTACAATGAAAGAGAAAGGAAGAGAGAAAAGCAGTGGAGGGAGAACAAGAAAGGCAACAGAGAAGTAGCAAAAGGAGTGAAGAAACTCTGGGTGAATTATAATTGGTGATTTTACTCCGTAGCTCCTTTTCTGTATTAGTTTGAACTGAAAGCTCCCATGAGAAAATTTCGGAATGGATCTCTTACCACTCCTGGAGATTTATTTCAAAATAAAATGGCTACCCTAAAGAAAGAGGTTTCACTACTTTTAGAAGCATGTAGATGGCATTTGTTGTCTTTTACTGTCTTTCCATCTCTCCAGTCCACACAAGCACAAACTGAGTGAACATTTGAGAACTCTTGACTGAGTCAGAGAAGTACTTCAGTGATTTTTAGCAGGATTGCTCCATGTTGGTATTACTATTAACATTCTTAATTTCCATACTTAACTGACATTTGGAACATCTGTTCATACTGAATACCTGCAGTTCTTTCAGGATCTTGCTTAATAGAGTTACATGATAAAGCTAGGAGACAAGCCTCTGAAAATACTTTTAACTCTATGTTACTCCTGCTGTGTCCCTCACTTACAGCACCTGAAGTTTAGTTCCTTTCAAGGAACAGTGAGTCAAGTCACATTTCTTTAATGCTTTTTGCTTCCTCAAACTGGCCATTCCTTATACAAAACTTATCAACAGGGTTTGTACTGGAGAAGATAGAGCACAATGGCATTCTTTTATATTTTAGCAAATTTAGTAGAAAAGATAATCGCATTTTCCTACTGACTTCTATAACATTACAAAAAAATCCCTTTTCTAAAAAAACGTTCAGTTCATATTTAAAATTTTAGGCAAAGGAAAGAGTTATAAAATACGAGGCACTGTCGTCCTGTAGGAGTTTTAGAGACTTTCAGAATTCTGAGGCACATTTAAGAAAATGTTAATTTCTTGATTGGTGGGATCAAACAGCACAAAATGCACAGATACCCAGACCTTGAGTCTCACATTCCAGTTATGATTAAAATCTTAAAATGAATCATGATGCCAAATAAGTAGTCACTACTTTAATACCATTTAAGCTCAAAAATCCCATTTTATTTGAAACCCAGATAAACTGCATTCAGAAAATAGTCATAAAATTTTCTACTATTATTCTTCATCTTTGTTTTATACAGTACAATGTCTAACATAGTAATAGGAGTACTCATACAGTATTAATATTTCAGTACTAAAACCTAACGTTTTATATTTTTTAATTGTTCTTAAATGATACCTACTACACTGTAGGACAGTGTTCATTATACGTACTTTTATTACGTAGCCTTGCAACCTTGAGAAGCTTACGTTTCTTCTCTGAAGCAGGAGTTTCTGGTGTGTGGGCAGAAGCACATGCTGTTGGTGAGTTAGCTGTACCAGGTAATCTTTTAGGAAATGTCATAGAGTAGGAGGTGCGCCGTCTTGTCCGACATGCTACTTCCCTCTCTCTATGCAGCAACTGTTCATCCATCAGCAATGTTATGACTTGCTTAGACTTTTCCCGGATATAATAACCTGAGAAATATGTTGAATTTGCATAGGTAAGAAAATATTCATTGAGGTTACAATTAATTTTTATTCTAAAGAAAATTAGGAAAAAAATGTAAGCAATGTAGCAAAGCAAAAAAAATCTGTAGCAAATGTACAGGGAAAACTAAGTTTCATTGGAATTGTCAGTAAGTACTCCGTTTCTTACACTTTAAGAAGAAAATAAATGTATGATGAAATCATATCACATATTGACATGAAATTTTTCACTTTAAATATGCTATTTCCTTTTAAAAGCAATATATACTCTGCAATAAATCAAACAATACAGGCATAAAAGAGAAATAAGTTAGATCTAGATATATTACCATGACATATAGCTAAAGATTTAAAGTAATATGCATGGTATGATTCAAATTGGTAAAGCACAGAGGAAAATCAATCATTGTGTATGTATAGGAGAGAGAAGTTGATAGAGAAGTACATGGGTGGGTGGTTGGATGGATGGATGGATGGGCAGGCAGACGACCAGCTAGGTCCCCACATGTTAATATCTGCTACCTTAAAGGAGTACAATTGGGGTGGGGCAAGAGTAGGGAGGGCAATTAGATTTTCTTTGACATAACATCTTATCAAAACAACTTGATGCCATTAATAGAGTGCCAGAGCACAGTCTAAGACCAGACCTACGACAATGTTGTCCTTAACCATTTGTGTGACTCTGATATGTTAGGCGGTCTGTCTGTGCTTGAGTTTTCTATGTGAAAACCAGTAGAAGTGTATCTGTTCAGTGTAATTCACAGATATAAAAGTATACTCACTCCAATATATAGTATTATTGTTACTATTCTCAATCCCCTCCCATGAAAAATGATAAAGGAAAACCACTTCCCTCTCCACATCTTCGGACCAACTCATATTATAACATCTCATGTTTTCCCAAGTCTTCTTGCAGAAGTGAAATGAAAAGTCCTTAAAGATCCACTACTATGTTCATTTTGGGCTCTAAGCGTGATGAATTGAAATGTTAATACATCCAACTATAACTTACTAGCAGTGGAAGTAATGAGAAACGGTCAAATGCAGGGTGCATTTAGACAAAAGAGGCCAACCTGTTCTCTGCCAGTCATTTCACTAAGGACTGCTAGGGACAGTGGCAGAGACCTTTGCTCAAGTTGCCGTCTTTCCCAAGATTATTTTATCTACTCTTAATCTCTTTTAGTCACTTACTCCTTCCAAACTTCTTTTATAACAGCTGTGAACTGTATCATTCTTGATACCTTCAATTTCCTATGAGTTAATTTGTAGTCCATAAACAAAAAATCCCGCAGTGTTTTGGGTTACCACTCAGTGTCGCCTGATAGAAGCCTGCTGGGACTGTCAGCCCTTGGGGACAATATGCCAGACACGACTTTTTCCCTGGAAAACTGCCGTAGCTTGGTTTGGGGAAGGGGTGAAAAACTTGTTTTTCCATTTCTAACTTCACAAAAACTCATCTCCTTCTGCTTCCTCTCTCTCCCTCTACCGTAGCCACTCTGACTGCCTTCTTCTGTAATCACACCAGGCTCTGTGTCTCCTTCAAGCTGTGTGCTAGCTGTTGCTTCCGCCAGGGACTCTGCATGGTTAGGTCCCTAATTCATTCAAGTCTCTACTCAAATGTCACCTCCTCAGAGAAGCCTTCCTTCTGCCCACCCTCTCTAAAATAGCCCCATTCCCATCACTATTCTCTTACCTACATGTGTATGTGTATATATAAATGTATATTTTTGTGTATATTTATTTGCATATATACATAATAATATATAATAATATTTTTATATATACATTTGTTTATTTGTTTACTGTTTATTTCCTCATCTACAAGTTCCATGAGGGCAGAGAGCCTCATTCACCCAGTATCTCCAGTGTCCGGAAGAATGATTGGCATATAAGAGATACTCAATAAATCTTTACTGTGTAAATGAATTGATAAAGGAGTAAATTACCAAAAGTCTCCATTTTCTCCTTGACATAGTGCAAATGGAACCAGATGGATGAAAGATACTGAATACCAATTTACAATGTAGCTGCCTGAGAAAGTTGCCTGGCCTGAAAGAGTTTCTTGCAACACCCTAATTACAAAAGGTCAGAACTAGAAATTATGGGACAGATGTGGATTATTTCACTTGGAGTCTGCATGAATTGGCGGGACTTAAAGCAGCTACAAAAGTTCAAAGGTCCAAGCAGGTACATCAAGCAGAAAGCCACAATGACAAAGCACTTCTCCCTGAAACATCAGGGCTCCTCCCTGAGGGAGCAGGTTGACAGATGGGGAAGGTCAAGCCACAGTGGTTTACTTCTCACTCCAGGCTGTGCACAGCCCTGGCTACCTCCCCACCACCCTCGAGATGCTGGAGAGTAGAAACCTGGCTGTTCTAAAGCATCGAAGTTGAAAGTGAAAAAAAAATCCAAGAACCCAATAAACATGCTTCAAGGATGAGTTAAATTATAACAATAGTACTGGGCGCCTGGGTGGCTCAGTTAGTTAAGCGACTGCCTTCGGCTCAGGTCATGATCCTGGAGTCCCAGGATCGAGTCCCGCATCGGGCTCCCTGCTCGGCAGGGAGTCTGCTTCTCCCTCTG